TACCTCTTCCTCTTCTTTTCTTTAATTGCTCTTTTTTCTCAGTTTCTTTCCCTTTCTTGTTTCCCCAATTTTTCTTGCTTTCTTTCTCTCCCTCCTTTCCTTCCTTCCCTTCGTTCTGTCTTCCATTCTTTAAGATACGAGCTCACACAAACTCATCACATTTCAAACGTGGGCAGACAGTAAAAGCCTACAAAATCCTTATCATAAATAAAGTGTTATCCGTTGGTAAGCGAATGGATGACCGACAAACATCTTGATATCCGAGGGGAAAAGGTAACAAAATAGATTTTGTAGTCAAAACGGTTAATACTTCAGGGTTTACTTCACATTTTATACCATTCTTCAAGTAATTAATAATTTACCAACGAAGAGACATCTTAAGTCACCCGGTGACTTGAAWTATAGCTATTAACAAAAGCAAAATATTCTGCTTTAAATGATCAAGCATATGTTTTTGAAAATATTTCGATCCTATCTGGGGGCGCGTTGTACGGAACGGATACAACAATGATCGATGGGATCTAATTCTGAATGGATTTTTGCGGCTCTCCAAACGGTTTTTAGCCCAAATAAAAGGATATAAAACAAAAATGAATTATTAGGATGAATATGCAAGTCGGTAAAGAGAGTGCCAATAAGAAAGAAACAATATATATCCTTGAGCTTTCATGTCTGAAATGCTGGAAACACTTATATTTAACAGTAACTAGTTCACAAATCTGGATGAAAATACAAATAAATCAAAATGAATAACATTTCATCGCCTTTTTGAACATTTATTGAAAATCCAAGGGGATAAWTTTATGCCTAGTGCTTTCATTGACGTTATAAACAAGAGAATAATGCCTTCAGTTGAGAAGAAAGATTAGATGTAAACGATGCAGAACAACACTGAAATGTTAAATGTCGGTGGGTCGTGCGCGTGAACCGAACAAAGTGACAATAAATAATGACTGGTATACTAAGAGACGGAAATAAATTAAAAATATTATTGAAATCWGACTTACAAGTCCACGAATTCCGACTTCTGGAGCTGAAATGCTCACTCGAGTGGGGAGTTTTGCTGTCATATTTYGTGAAAAGATGTCCGCGGGAAGTGTTCCTCAAATAATCATGTTTCTATGTCAAAAATGAATCTGCCCATAGCGTTTGGATCGTTGTTGCCGGTATGAAGGAATACCAAGTTGACTCCCGATTCATTCGATTGTAATATGAATTAATGTTAATAAGGAATATCGAAGAAAATCTTGACGTCATGAGAATGATAGTAGTGACCTAGTCTGTAATGTTTTTATCAGGCCTGGACTTAGTTGATGTACCTGGCTGATCGTTAAAATACACTGTCATCTTTGCATTGAATCTTTTAAAAAAAAGACGTAAATATTTCCATCTGGATCGTGTTTTATATACCTGATTTCCATACTTTTGAACAAAGCGCTATGTATAATTATCTTACAGATACATGGCGCCCAAAACAGAGCAGYTGAAAACGAGTCACCCAACGTTAGCTTGAAGGATATTAGACTAATGGTCGTGTAGCCCGGTGAATCTGTTTTAATAATCCGTCAYCTAATCGATTGAATATTCTAACTAAATATGGGGTTACCATGAAAAGATGGAAGTCAAGCTATGAAAGAGGATATGACTAGTGATGCTTAAATAGCAGGATACCGTTGTATCTTCAATTCTAAGCATGTTCTGCGTATGGAAAAATGAATGAATTGACCTTGTTCATCGCGTGCGTGAAGCAATGTTTTCCCATTACAGTTGACATTTCTGTTCCCAAGAGTATCATTTCTTTGTTTAACGTTTTTGCATGGGAAGTTACATGAATATGGATACAATTCAAACAAAGAATCATAWTTTCAAAAGAATGGCAAATCGCGTCTGAGATGGAAAAACATTCCACGACGAATAAGACAGAGACTTTGGAGYCAGTGGGCTATATATATGACTTTTCAAGTTTACCGTTTGTAATAATGCTAAAATACTCACAATTATAAAACTAAGTTCTTATAATCAAAAATAWGAGAAGCACGAACCAGCAGGCGCGTGCTTTCTAATTTTTCAATACAACCTAATTCTCATTTTATCCCCCAAATAAAAAGTATGAAAGTATCAGCCTCTCCGTCTCTGTAAAACTTGTTAATGTTTAAAATCTCAAATACGACAGAAGCAGAGGAGGAGGGGGGGCGGGGGGACGTTAAATACTACCCCTGTTTTTCCCAATCCTCGCCAGACAAAATATTTAATATTATTAACTATAACAAACAAACAAACGCCTCCCCCGTCACCTATTAATTTTTTTTTCTCCTTGCCTTAATGATGTATGTGTGTTTTCCAAAGTATTTATCCGTGAATCACAGTCAATCTCACTCTTGCTTTCAGCTGAATGCACTTAATGGACAGTGCTGTCTTTTTGTCATCACGGGAGTAGATTATCTTGATAAGCCTGGAGCTCTTATAAATAACGCTTATAAACATTGCAGTAGGTAAGGAGATCAGAACGTATAGTACGGTTATTTTGCTGATTAATCATGAATACTGGAAGTATTGTCACCGTAACATCCGAGTATTCTTTGATGCTTCCATGCTTCTTTCTTTTGAGTTCCCTTTTGCAAGTCTCTCTGGATTTTTTTAGTTTCATGGTGTCTATTTTCTTTTCATGGATAACTTTTCTTCTTCAGTATTCGTGCTTTTTTTCTTTTAATTTGTGTGTCTTTTTTCTCGCTCCTATTTCCCTTTATATCTTTTTCTGTCTTTCAATCTTTCATCCTTTCATTGCCTAGCTCTTTTTAAATCTTATATATAACCTTCTTTCCCCCTTGCATTTAATATATGAATGCATTTAACGGTTATTATTGCTCTTAGGCCCTGGCTAAACGAGGAAACATGTTTCCAGAAACATGTTTACCGCGCGCATGTTTCCTCGATGTTTCCCAGTTTAGCCACACGCGAAACATTGCTGCGTGCAAAAAAGTTTGCTTCCAAGACGCAAAATATGTTTTTGCTGTGCGGCAGAAACATTTCATGTTTCTAAGACGCATGGAAACATTGTTTCCCGATTAGATGTTTCCTGACAGTTTTGCCACCTTTGGAAACATTTAGGGAAACGCGTTTCTGGAAACATGTTTCCTAGTTTAGCCGGGGCCTTAAGCTTTTAATTCTAGCTTTCCTTTTCTTTTCTTTTCTTTTCTTTTCTTTCCTT